AATTTTAAAAGATTTTAAAACTTCAAGGTTAAAAAGAAAAATATAGTAATCAAGCCATAAATGTATACCATGTGGTTAAAGCCCACTAAAAATGGTGGATTCTGGATTGCTGAATATTTAATAAAACAATGATAGTTTCCAAATTCTCTAATTTTTCATGGATTTAAATTCTGTTTCATGAGATCTGATATCATTGCATTCAAGTCATTTTGCAAATACTGCTCTGCCGATATTTTTTTCTGCCTCATGATCTTCAGGAACCACTCTGCCAATTTTAAAAGTAGTAAAGGTAAAATGCAAAAGCTGTTACTAATTTGAGATTATATAGCATTATGAGATAGAATAGTTGTTGGCATACCCATGGGCCAAATCTAGCCTGCCACTTGTTTTTATAAATAAAATTTTATTGGAGCATAGACACACTGTGGCTGCTTTTGTGCAATAATAGCTGTGTTGAGTAGATATGACAGAGATCTTATGGCCCACAAAGCCTAAATCATTTATTATCTGGCACTTTATAGAAAAGTTTGCTGACTCCTGAGATGGCAGTTAGGCTTTGGAGAAAGGTAGACCTGGGACATATCGGATGTGAACTTTGCTACTTACTAGCCCCTTTTCGGGGGGTGGTGGCGGAGAAAGGTATTGCTCTGTTGCCCAGGCTGCTACAGTGCAGTGGCACAATCATAGTTCACTGCAGCCTTGATCTCCCAGGTTCAAGCGATCCTCCTACCCCAACCTCTTGAGTAGCTGGGACTATAGGAACACAACACTGCACCTGGCTAATTTTTGAAATTTTTTTTATAGAGATGGGGTCTCACTGTGTTGCCTAGGCTGGTCTCAAATTCCTGGCCTCAAACGATCCTTCCCCACCTCGGCTTCCCGAAGTCCTGAGTTTACAGGGATGAGCTACCATGCCCAGCCAAAGACTTTAGCAAGGTTTAATGTCTTTACCTCTCAGTATCCCTATTTGTAAAATGGGAATTGTAGTACCTAGTTCATAGGAATGTGAGGATTAGATAACACATGTCGAATACATATATAATGTGTTGTACGTAGTGGCCACTCAGTTAAATGTAACTGCTTTTACTGTTCTTTCTCAACCATACTGAAGGTTTTAGGGAGATATATGTGTTGACAGTGCATAGGATTTATTGGAGTAAACAGAATTTGAAGGTAGGAAGTCTGGCTAGGAGGTGGTTTTAATGGTTTAAGCCTAGGGGCAGCAGTTAGAAATGATATGAACTCGAGGTGTGAAGAAAGAAGCAATAGGACTTTGTAGTTGACTGCATGTGAGAAAAAAGGAAAAGAGGAAAGATGAGTCAGGTGATATCATACCGTAATTCAAATAGGGGTGTTAAGAGATGGAGCCAATTAAGTGATATAAACATTTTGAGGATCTAACCCTGTTTTAAGGCAATGGGAAGGGAGTAGTACTCAGTGAAAGATAAAGAGATTAAAGATTTGCATTTCTGTCTCAGCAAGTAAGTATACTGGACTCTTATTAAAATACAGTATTAATATATATTCTCTCTAGAGAATTCTATATAAAAGTAAATATATCTTAGAGCTTCGACATTACTAAAGGGCTAGAAAGACCTTATTTAAGATTGTTCCATCCACAAAACAATATCTTTAGTGTATACGTTAAGACAGTGTTAGACTTATGTGGCATTGCTGGAAAAATCCTCATAAGAGAATTGAACTAAAGATTGCCTTTTTATGCATTAATAACTTCTAATGATTTTATTACAGAACTTTATATATATAGATATATATATATATATACACTTTCCTGTGCTGAATACATCCAACATGATTTAATTTCTTCTCAGAGATTCAAGGAAATCATTTTAGTATCAGTTATACTGTGCTCTCGTCCTGCTGTGTCCTCTAATGTTCTTCCCATGTTACCTTGAAAAGTTTCTGAAACCTTCTTGAGAGTGTTTAATCAGTTTAAAATAAAATAGCCAAGTCTAGTCTGGAAATAATTATGTTGCTTTTCCCTTCATTTCTTTGGATGGTTTTTGAAGCAGGAAAGCAATCTGTTGCTCTCTTATTTGTCCGCAGGTAGATATCATCTGTGGCGATCACTTGTTGGAACGGTATCAAACTCTAAGGGAGATCCGACGTGCAATAGGTGATGCAGCAATGCAAGTAGGTCTCGGATTTATCACGCCTATGCCTAGTAGATAAATTATTTCATGAAAGAAAGAAGTTCCATGTTAGCAATAAGGTTTTCATAAATATCCTACAATTTTCTTAAAATTACCTGGACTATAAATAAATAATAATTATAGCTAATATTTATTGAATGCTTACTGTGTGTCAGGTACTATTCTAAATGGTTTATGCAGATTAGCTTATTTATTCCTCATAGTTATTCTATGAGGGTTGGCAGTCTTTTATCTCTTATGTTAAAGATAAGGAAACTGAACACAGAAAGCACATGTAACTGCCCACAGTGAGTTAGTGGGTGAGCCAGAGCGCAAACCCTAGGCAGTTCTATTCTAGAGGCCTTGCTGTTTTTCCCTGTCTAGTCCTGCAACAGAATTCTGAAGGCTTCTAGGCAGACGTATCCAGAAGGACACTTCTTCAAGAAAAATTTGCAGATATTCATTAGGCCTTAGAGATTGACATACTCTTTTTTTGCTCAATAGGTAAAAAGTCAAGGTAACTATTTTTATGTTTTAATTAACCTATAATGTGTGTGGGAATATAATTTGAAGACTCCTAGTTGGGATAATAGAAAGCAAGGTAGTATCTACAATATTAATGAAGAGAAAAGCAGAATAGGACCACTTATTCTAATGTATTCCTGAACCCATAGTGGTAAATTATTTTAAGAGCTATATGCC